ACGACGAGATTCGTCGGAATTTAATAACCTATATACAATATACACATTAATAATTTATATACAAACCACTAGCACCAGATACTAACAAAAATAATTTCACATATCATAATACTTAGTGTTATTGGAATTTGACTTTAAGTGCAAGGAGATTCCTTGCGCTTAAAGTTCATTTTTCTATAAAAATATACTTTACATAATCAAATTAAATTAAAAATGGTTTTCAACATTATTCACTGTGTGCGATTTTATTAATAAAACTGTAATCCATAAAAAAATAATTGTAAAAATTTATATATTTTTAAAACCGTTATCATTATTTATGTTAATTTATTAATAATATTGCCTGCTCCGAATATTTTTATTGTGCCTTGACTAAGACATTTTTTAATTATGCTTAATTTAACTTAGTTTACAAATAAATTAATTATTATTTTTTTATCTAATTAATTTTGGTTGAGATTAAAGGAGTCACATGTTGTTTATCAGTTTTTTTTTTAAATTATATTATTAATAAATTGTAATAAGTAATTCATTTAACATCATAATAAAATGACATAATTTTGAGCCAATAAGGTAACTAAAAAAAGGTCAAATTTCTCCAATCTATATTATGTCTCGACTAATTAATAATAAATTTCAATATATGATTAAAGAAATTTTACCTCAAGTGCTGATTCGTTGCAGTCACAGTTTCTGTTATTGTTTTAAAACCAGGATATAAAAACAGTATCTTAAGTCAATTCGCTTATGAAGTGTTGGACATAATTTTTGTCATAGATTAATATTTGTCAACTCTCTTTTTATATTTCGAGAAATGTCTTCTCACGACTTCACATTCTGCGTAACGTGCCCGTCCGGAGTACTAGTCAAAAGTACTGTAAGTACCCACAGGTGAAGACCGATCTGTAAAAGAATTAATGAAAACATAGTACACATATGCACATACAGCAATCGTAAGATAAGCCCCTGTTTCATTTATTATTAAATGGTAGTGAAAATCAAATACATATTCTGTTTTTAATTTGACTATTTAATATTGGATTTATTAAATTAAACATTATTTCTCCAGAACCACTCATGCTAAGAGGGTAGAAAAAAATACGGCTGTGTGGAACAGATTCCTCTGCCATAAACTAACAAACAACGATTATCATTATACTCTTTGTTACTATGATGAATTCACCGACATCAATGACGGAAAAGGGTAAAGGTACTCGACATCAGATTAAAATAAAGAATATGTAGGCTATACGCATGAAGCACTAGATGGCGCTGTAGGTAACGTGTTAAGTCTGCGATGCGGAAATTAGAACTAGAACTTTCGCAAGCGCCTGTCATAGGATGGGAAATCGTAAAACCAGGGTACCATCAATTTATAGAAGAAAAGCTCTGTTCTGTATAATGAATATTCAGATAAACTAGAAAAAGAGTTGTAGAAAAATGTCTAATATCCTTTTATTACCTTAATACCTGACGGAAAAAGAATCATGTTAGGATTTGACTGTTATGTATACGACTGTTAACTCTTATCAATAGAAATAAATTCTATTTGATTTCAAAGATTACAGTACGGTTGAAAACCCTAATGAGGAAGTATTTAAAAAAAACGAAAGCACTAAAAAAGCACCTCCACTAGATGGCGACCCTAGCAAAAGTTGATTTTTGCAGGAAACGTATGGACCAAAGACAGTAATTTCCGTTCCTATTAACTAACATATTAAAAAACAGAAATTTTAAAAGTTCGAAACTTAGATATCAATACCAATAAAAGATTAGTTGTTTATTGAGTTTTGAAAACTATTTTTTTTGCTGTTGACCTGTTCTTAATAAAACTAAGTAACTCACCATATATACCACGACGAACATCCTGAAAACCGGATTCCGTTTCATCATAACGCCTATTTTAACTGATATGCCGGACAGGGGTGACATGCCGGGCGCGTGACTACGCGATCGCCGCTCGCTCTCCTGCAAATGCACCACGTGATTGTGGTTCCCCCGCGACGACACCAACTCCGACTTATACTTAGTCTGTTTCAAATACAGACTTGTGTCAAAAATCAGTCAAAAGACAAAGAGAAATTCGTACAATGACACGGTATTACATACAGTGGCGAACTAACCTCGTGGGAGGTCGAGGCGGCAATAGGCCCGGATCGTCATTTTTTTAAATGTATGTTATAATGATTTTGGGGGATAGCTGCAGCCATTTGAAGGCGCCCTAGGACGGGAGCCCCCGTCCGCTCCCCTTAGTCCGCCACTGTTTACATCTCTTTCACTCCTACGCAAACGTATTGCTCGTGCAGATGCATCTAGGCAATTTTGTCATAAAAAGAGAATCTCAAGTTTTCACGAAGCTACTTTTGCAAGGGCCAGTCATAGGATAGGTGACCAAAAATTAGACACATACATAACATTTTAAAAGGCAAGTTAACCGTTGACCTACATCTGCCGTCGTTAAAACCCACCAATTAGAACTGGACCCGCGTGGTAGGTCGGCCGATTATCCCTATCCATCCGAAGGCCTGGATCGAGGGCCTCCAGCTATCTAAGCTTAACGATCATTTAAAACACACTTATTAAATTTATTAAAGTCAATTGTATACGAGGGTCAAACTGAAAGTTCTTAGAACTGGCCACTTATAAACAATATAATAAAAAAATAATTCTAAAATTTGAAAATATAACTCTTTGCCAATATTACTGAGTATATATTTCATTCATTTGTCATTTGTTTTACGATTTGGCGGCAAATTGAAAATTGTCTGTGTCACGTCATCATGAATTTAACACGAGAAAATTTTCGTGCAATGATTTTTTATGACTTTCGATGTCATTTAAGTCAACAAGAAAGTTATGATAGACTACGATTGGCCTTTCACGATGAAGCCCCATCTCGTGCGACTGTTTACAACTGGTTTAATGAGTTTAAACGTGGTCGCACTAATCTCACTGATGATTTACGTGAGGGACGGCCTTCTACGGCGACGACTGAAGATAACATCTGTGTTGTGCGGCGTATGATAGAGACTGACAAAAGAGTGACCTATCAACAGATTCGGACAAGCTTAGGCATCGGTATGAGTCAAGTGCACAAAATCCTCCACGAACATTTAGCGGTCAGGAAGCTTTGCGCCCGGTGGATACCTCATAATTTGACTGAGGCTCAAAAACTCCATCGTGTGGATTGGTGTCGTAAAATGATTGAAAGATTTAACGGAGGTGACTCAAATGCTGTGTTCGACATACTAACAGGTGACGAAAGCTGGATTTACTGTTATGATCCTAAAACCAAAAGACAATCTGCTCAGTGGGTGTTTCCTTTCGAGGAGTTGCCAACTAAAGTGAAGAGAGATCGAAGTGCGGGAAAAAAAATGGTGGCCTCGTTCTTTGGAAGGATAGGTCATTTTGCAACAATTGTGTTAGAGGATCAAAAAACAGTTTCTGCAGAATGGTACACTACCAATTGTTTGCCACTTGTCTTGGAAAAAGTTCGAGAGAAACGACCTCGCAGTAGGATCCTCCTTCACCACGACAACGCCTCGTCGCACACCGCCAAGCGAACGATCGACTATTTGGCGACATCAAACGTTGAATTACTGGGTCACCCGCCGTATAGCCCCGACCTCGCGCCTTGTGATTTTTATTTATTTACAAAAATTAAAGAAAAACTTAAAGGAAAGCGGTTTATGAATGCTGAAGAAGCGGTGGCTGCGTATCGCGATGCCATTGAAGAGACCCCTAAGGACGAGTGGGCAAAGTGCTTTTCCCAGTGGTTCCATCGCATGCAGCGGTGTATTGACGTGAATGGACAATATTTTGAAAAGATATAATAAAACTAATAACTGGCTAATGTAATCAGTTTTTGATTTTCTAAGAACTTTCAGTTTGACCCTCGTATGAATGAATAAAGCTAATCCAAACAATTACGATTATAATAAAGTCTATTGGTTCCTTTTATGGCATCGAACATGCTAATGACAAGTAATTATACTGCCCTTATAAAGACTCGTTAATAGAAGATATAGTAAACGATTTAATTATGTTGATTTATGTCACTAGCAAAGTAAAGAATTATCTTGTTATGAAAACGTCCATGTATTTTTTTAAGGATGTGATTTCATTAACATTTAATTTATTTCGTAACTATTATGGATCAGCTATGTTAGCCATGCAAAATAAATAGATATTCTAAAATTTGTTTTTAAATGAATTTATTTATACTAATTAGAGTATTCTTAATGATTAAAAAATCTACTTTGTCCCTGGCACTCTGAGTTGGGACATTTTTCTTCAAGAATATTTTTCAAATATAATAACCAGAGGTCGGAATTAGGTAGAGTTATTTATGTACTTGCATCAAAATGTTGATATAATGTGGACCTTCCCGGGATTTCTTTATTTCTTCTTTCTTTATTTCTTTCTTTCATTGATGTAAGTTTGGCAACGTCGTGCGTGCAGTAGTTTAAATTGTGTAAAAGTAAATAACTTTTTATTTAAAAAATCACGGGATTTTTTCTGCTCTTTAAAATTAATCTCGGTATTTGAGGCATATCCACTTTATTCTTTCGCTGTACGAAATCAGCGTAAGTACATGAATAACTCTACCTAATTCCGACCACTGATAATAACTAATTAGTGTTTAGAATAAACGCGTTATCTATCATTAAGACCCTGTTTAGAACTACGAATAATATTTTTTTCACTATTCATAATTCGCTGGTAAAGATTAGTATTTCAAAAAATCTTATAAGCCTGACTTTTATAAAAATCTTTGGAATTATTTTTATTAAGATTTATCGAAGTCAGTTTTTGAACGCGTTATTTCGACTAACAACTGCTACTTATATAATTCCAGCTATTTTATAACATCATTGAATAAATTAATAATTAAATAAATCGCAGCGAAACCCCAATGTCAAAATGACAAGGAAACAAACAAAAAGTACTTTGATCTATAAGTTGTATAATAGCAGTTAACCTTAACTACGAGATATACATATTTTATTGTAAAAATAATCAATAAAAGTGAAGGAGACAAAAGAATCTATAAAAAACCGTTAGTTTTATAATATTACAAATTTTTCTTTTTTTTTCAAACTGAAAATTGCGAGCACACATTTTACGAAATGTATAATTTGTTATTTTAAAAGCATAAATAAATTTATTTTTAATAAAAAATAATATTTTTAATGAATAATATTATTAACAAATAGGCAAATAATAAATATTTTCAGATAAAATTTTCTCATTATTTATAAAAAAATAAGCTTCTTGAAAGCACACACCGATCAAAAAAGAAAGCGCGAAGCTAGCGAAAAAATTTTTAAATTATTTTGTTTGAAGAATTTTAGAATTATTTGTATGAGAACATATGAACTACCGCACGCATTTACGCTCCGAATCGTCAGAATTTCAATGTCACCTGTCATAAATTGTAAAGAAAATACGTTTCGACCACATCCTCAGGCAAATTATTAGATATGCAAAACAATTACCTCCAACTTTTCCAGCTGTATCTTGAGCATATTATTATCAGCTAACAATGTGTCGATCTTGTTCTGTTTCTGCACCAGAGCTTCCGTCAAGTAATGCACTCTATCCTCGTCTACGGACTGTTGTGTGACGTCATAGTCTGCTACATTCAGAGCGCTAGTGTCAGACACACGAACCGACGAGGTCGAGTTACGAAGCTGACTCAGCTCGTTCTCTTTCTCTCGTAAAGCTGAACGGAGACTGGCAATCGTTTGGCCAGTTTCAATTTGTAATGTTTTCATCTCCTAAAATTTTATCATTAATGTATTGGATACTCTTTACAGACTTAAAGACAACAAGGAATACCAAGAGCTTGATGGATTGGCAAAATAGATAAATTTGTGGGAAAAGGCTGGATGGAGATAGCAAAGGTTAAAATGGTCAGGTCTATACCTGAAAGAAGCCATGACATGTTAAGCAAATATATCTTTATTTTCTTTTCTAGTTTTTGTGTTACGGCAATACAAAGGCTAATTATTATATCATATTATATATCAGTAAATATTTCCATTTTTATTTTCCAGTTATTTATTCCGTGTTTGCGTTCGGGCCAAGTCCTTTTGTTTATATGTATGAGTTCAGCATCACGATACTTTTCGACAATCGCCTGTTTTTATCAACTAAACGTAAAATATTAAAGTAGTATATTTCAATGGTATAGCTACTGGTACTTCATCGACTTCAGTGTTGCTATCTTCTGCGTATATATATCTTATAAAAACGGTAACACTGAACCAATATATTTAATCAAAATTGTACAAATTCATCTGGCTAAGAAGGCCAATGGTTTAAGCCAAATACTAAGTTAATTCTAGTTTTGTATGAATATTGGTTCTCCTGATCTTCTGTTGATTATATATTTTAATGTAGAATATAATATTAAGGTTCTAAATCAATTGACATTAACTCACCTTCCCCAATTCAAGGTACTGCGCTTCCGTCTTATTGTTGGCCGCTCTCTCGTCCCTCAGCGCCTCTCTTAGGGCGGTCACCACTCTCTCCGCGGTCGCATGTCTAGATTCCATCTGTTCGATCTGTTGTTTCATATCATCACATTCGTTTTTGACCCTGGATATTGCTTCAGATAGAAAATCACGTTCTTCTCTGTAAATGGCAAAGGAAAGCAAGCTTTAAATACAAGTGATGAAGACACTCACTTAGATTTTAAGTTAATTTTAATTTAACTGAATATTATTTCTTCTTGAATCAAGATAAAAAGTGGCTTGAATACACATATACAGAAAACAGCATGTCAGGTTAATACAAAAATACGATTTCTGGAATCTATTATAAGCTTTATCTATTGAGAATTAACTTTAAAATTGATTAAATTAGAAAGAAAATTCTGGTACAAACTATAAATCAAATGTCAACATTTATGATGCAGTTTTTAGAAAGTAGATAAATTACTTCTTTATAAAATTATTATTACACTAGTGGCCGCCAGCGACTTCATGCTTCAGCGCCAGTGATGTTATATTGCCTAAAGCCTTCCTCGATAAATGGTCTATTCAACACAAAAAGAAGTTTTCAATTCGAACCAGTTCGAAGTTCCTAACACTGAAAAAAACTCTTTAGCTTTATAATATCAGTATAGATAAATAAAATCATTATCAATGCTTACTTCAGCTGTTCCAACTGATCTGTCAAAGTCTTGGTATCCTCTGCCACAGTGACGCCATCTTGTAATGCTTTAATCTCATTGTCTTTGGCAAACAACATCCCTTTTACCCTCAGCTTGTATGCCTCCCAGTCTTTTTCTAACCGACGACATTCCTCATTAGACTTTTCTAAATTGGCTTGAAGGTCAACAATAGTGGATTGTGCATGTCGTAAGTCATTTTCTAATTTAATTTGAAAAGAACTTTTCTCACTTATTTGTTCGGTCAGTTGTTTCAATCTATAGTAATAAAGGTTTATGTTAGAAAGAGCAAGACTAACTTAAAACAAGCAAGGAGGAACCAAATATTGTAACTTGATTTTGAAACTTGCTCACTGGAAAATGAGTTCCTGACATATTGTAACATCATAATTTTTAATTTTCATAATACCATTTCAGGGTACCTGGGGACTGATGTTATTGTTAAGCATTTTTCAAAGACATTTCATAACCAAAACTTCTCTACCTCCGTTTTTGTTTTTAATAAATAACTGAAATATAGAAAAAAAATATCTACATAACATACTTCTCTTCTAACTCTTCATTTCTATCTCTCAATATACCAATTTCCATCTCCAACATGTCACTCCTCTCCTTTTGTTTCAGAACTTCATTATTGTTTATTTCATAAATTTTGTGTTTCAACTGCACAAGTTGTGAGTTTTGAGACTCTAAATCTAAATTTAATTTCTTATTTTGAAGATCAGCACAATCCAATTTTGTCTGTTTGTTGCTTAGTTCTAGAAAAAACAAATTATGGTGACTGATTAATCTACTATTATCTAAGCATCAAGTGTTTTGTGATAATAGAATAAATATATCGAAGTTGGAAAGCAAACTCGTAGTAACCTGCAAAGCCAAAATATCTTATTTCTGTATAAATTGACTAAAGAACACTTAATTTGTTGCCATGGATGTTTATAGGAATTATTTACTGAAAAAAAGAAAAGTTTTTATGCTCTGAAGAACAATTTTGATTTTGCGGGTTACTAAGTGTTTACTGTCCAGCGTTGATAAAGTGATAAGTCAATAATCATGATGGTTATCAAAGTCTGCTTCCTGTAATCAGTGATTACATCCTAAATATCAAAATATCTCCTTACTAAAATCATCAACAAAAAAATTACCATCCTCTGTCTTCCTCAGACGGTCAAGCAACTCTGAAACTTCTCGGTTCATAACATTAAGTTCATTTTTCAACATTGCATTTTCAATTTCCAAATTTTGTATTTTATAAGTAGTCTCATGGTTGCTTATCAACTCTAAATCTGCTGGTAAACTGTATCCTGAAACAATTAAAAGAATATCTCTGATATGCACACAAGTAGTGCACTTAATGAAGCTTCAACTAATAGTTTTTATTTAGAAACAAAAAACATTTATTTTGCTAAGTTAAATTTATACATATGATTTGTATTAACAGGTGATTGATCTGCCACTTTAGATAACTCTAAAATTAACCTTTTAAGTCAAAAATTAAAATAATAAGCTGTCCTTTTTCCATTACTATATTGGTAAAGGTAGTATTTAAAGAAAAAAAAATCTTTAAATACAACCTAACAGAAAATTTTACATTAAAGAAGTAACATCACTGGAAATATGAATTAATATACACCAAATATTGTATAGTGTTGTAACAAAACAGTAAACTAGAAAAACAGAACATTGATATATTTTTGTATTTCTATAATTGGATTATTGTTGCTGTAAAAAAACAATGTTAACTTACGTCGCTCTTTTAAACAAAACTGATCTTCAACTTCACTGTCCCTTAAATCACCTACAAGAGTATTCGGACAATGCTCAATGCTGTACTGAGTAATATTTTTTCGAACTGGTGATTTCTTCCTTGATGGTCTGCTGATATATTCTACACTGTCTTTGGCTGGCGACCTCGACTGACGAGATACATTTGAAAGAGGAGAAAGTTTTCTGGTAGGAACTAAGTTGTTCGATTTCGTTTCGGTTGCAGTTGAGACTTTCTTTATATTTCGTGTTGTTGGACGTTTTTTCTGCGCCCAAGGCGGCTCTGGGATGAGGGAATAGTCTTGTTTCTCATGTTTTTTGGACTTCACCACGTTATGGTTGCGTAGAGCCGCGCCGGTTTGCTCATCTAGGTTTGTGAGCAGGTTCTCCGCCCTACCGGCAAGGTCCGCGAACCATGACATTATGATAAATTTTATTCTAAAAACAAAAATTTCACATTTTTTTAATTTACAATTTGAATGGTGTAGCGTATATAGTGAAAAGCAACAAAAATAACAAAGTTTTAAAATAGAACTAATACATTATAAAATAGCAATAATTCTAATATTACCAAATCATTAGATATAAAATGGGACCAAATTTCCTAATTTTTGTATTTTTAATGACAATTTATGCTTGACACGTAAACATTGTATGACAACAGATGCATAGACCTTTCTTTTTTTTGGTTCAATTTTCCCATTCCTACAGGGGAAGGGGAAGGCAAAGGGTGCTTAGCCCATACAGCCTTGTCAAGATTGCATAGACCTCTCCACAGACCATAGAGTAAGGTAGAGTGGAAATATTTTCTATGGTTATATAAATATCATGCAATCTGAAGTTGACATCAAAAACATCATGTTGTCTTTTTTTAACTAATAAGAAGTTTCTTTAGTAAACAAAGATAACATTAGTGTGACAGTTCAACATTTTTTACGTGACGTCATGAGATATAGCTATCGTACCACCTGTCAGCCATTTGCAAATTTGCTTTGCGTATTCTCGGAAGTAGTTCAGCTGTCAGTGTTATAAGTTTTGTGGTTATTTTCATTTATAACTTTTATTTATATAACTTTCATGGCAGAAAATTGTAAATTATTTATGCAAAACAATGCCTAGGTGCTGTATAATTGGTTGTGCGTCATCAATATCCCGCAAACCGAGCAATATTACGTTTCACCGGTAAGTTAAACACTTTCTTGGAATAACAGTATTTAAAACGTAAATAAGTTATTCTGAAAATGATTGCGTGTATAAATCGATACATATCGTATTTTGGCGTGTTCTATTTATGCTATATTGCTCTTTTCGTTTATATTTTTATAATATTTCGGTCCGTAAATAATATTGTTTACATGGCTAGTGTCGTTACTTTAACATATGGTTTATATCGATAATTTTAATATTTAAAAATATATTAATTATTTTAGATTACCAAAAGATGAAACAAAAGAGGAAAATGGCCGAGTTACATAGAAGCAGAAAATATTCAATGTATTGAAAAAGTTACTTTGTTGTTTGAATCGAACCTTAAATATAATAAAATTACGAGATGATGCATTGCCAATCATATACTCTGGTAAGAATTTTTGACAATTGCTTTTAACTTATTTAAAAAAAAAAATGTCTATTACACTTAGTTAATTTTCATTTGATTTTACTGATTTATTTATTTAGTTTTTCATATAGTCATTTTGTTATTCTATAAATGTACCTTATTTTTAGTCTTGCGGTCATATGACGACTATTTTAATTGAAAAAAATCAGAATGCAATATATAATAATATTAAAATATAAAATTCTGATCATAATATACTCCCAGTAAAATATACAATAAAATGAGTTAAATAATTTTAATAAAAATTAAAATATGCACACTTATCAAATTAAAGGCATAGTTAAAGGTTTTGTTTGCTGTTCAATAGTATAATCTTAATACCCAAATAATTATTTTGCGGTGTGGATGTTTATTTTGCTGATGCATCATAAAATACGCTACCTTTTTGAATTTAAATTGCTGACCGTTATCATGATTGTTCACAGAACATGAATTGCAGACTGTTTTACTGCTGAGAAAATATTTGTATGCTTGCCTATTGATTAATCGGCTGTTTTCTTCTTGCTAACCAAATTTTTAAATAAAATGCCAATTGTTACTTCTTTAATAATGTTACTGTTATGCCAATTGTTACTTATTCATCACCAACTTTGTTTTCTTTATTTTCTCTTGTTTATTCATCAAAGTTTACAGTATTTTTATGTTCTTTTACCAATAATATAATACAAAGATTATGTAGGTGTTTCAAGTTTTCTATGTTTACTACTAAACAAGATGTTCTGAACTAAAATTGTGACACAGTACGCACGGTATCTCACTTAATGAGGAGGAAGCGAAATTTATTCAGTCAAAACAATTTATTGAATAAATTTATAGACAAGTTAGCTTACTAGTTACAAGCATATAAGAAAGTCGAAACTCTGTGCTTATAGTTCAGCAATCTATTACGGGATACCTTGTACCGAGAAAAGAAGAAACTGTAAGAAAGGAACCGGTAAGAAACTGGAAGGGCTGCTTTTGCACCCTGTTTGATTTCGTACTGAAAAATAAAAAATGACTTCATTGGACCAAAATGTCACTTTCCACCAAAACAATAAAAAATATATAACAGACAAAAAAAAGCATAATAATTCATTCGTCAATCGACTCATTAAAAGCTTATTATAGTTACCGTGGTAGTTATCTTGGACAGTAGTCACACTTCCCGTGGATGCAAAATTAAACTTATGTTAAAAAAACTATTTAATTATAATTGCAAAATGTCAACTTGACAATATATATGGAAATAATTATAAAACACGATTGATATTATTGTAAAACTTTTAAGATATATATTTTGGTACTATAGTTCTTAAAACTATGTAAAATTGGCTATATTAGAGGAAAAAGAAACATATTTATCGAGGTACAATCATATTATAAAATTATATTATTAAATAATATAAATGTGAAAGTTTGTGAGGATGGATGTTGGTTACTCTCATGTAAAAACTACTGAACGGATTTTGATGAAATTTGGAATACGAATAATCTTTTACCCGTGGGAAGCGCCATCATACGCTGGTTACATATGTTATATTTACTATAGTGACGCAACGGAGTCGCAAGAACAAAGAACGCAAGAAATTTTAGATGTCCAACAAAATACGAGCAAAAGATTGCTCTAATGATTTATAAATAATTGATAAATTCACGCCACTTTTAAAAAAATATTATTTTCTTGATACTGGCGTGAATTTTTCAATTTAATTAATAATAATCATAAATAGGATTGGTACGTAAGTGTGAAATGAATAGAAGTGTAATAGGTAATAGTTTAGCCATGCCCCTAACAATGAAAATTATATTATATTATTTAATAAGTAGTAGTATTGTAGCAGTTTCACGAAATACTAACTTTTATTTAATATGACTTCAATGTCGATACAAATATCGATATCTTGGGTCACGCCCTATGACAATCCGCCATCGAAGAATTTGCATTTGAAGTTTAGGCATATACGCTTTTTTCGTAGGTATGGCCGGTCCTCTTCTTTTATGTCTATGCCACAGACTTAGTAGATATACCTCTCGAAGAGTATAGGTATTCTATTCTACGTGATTACCACAAGGAACTTATATACTTACTTAAATGATTACATTGCTTGCATATATTAAACAAAATTCCATATTATAACAGTATTAAACAAGTATTATAATTACATTATAGTAATACTCATTTGATTATTGAAATAAGTATATTACTTATTTTGTATTGACTTACGAAGTGTCGCTACTATTGACTTACGAAGAGGGTCCTCCTTTCAAAAATAATGCAAATACGAGTATGATATAGTCTCATAGGCTCTAACCATAGGCATGACGCACGAATAGTCTATAAGGCTAAAGCCTATTCTTTACTGATAACCTAAGTCGTTATCATCGTAAAAATAAGTAACTCCAATATATCAAAATCACTCATTCGTATTTTTTATTAATGGTTCGCAATTTTGAAAGGTCACTATGAGAGATCTCTACGGAGAATCACTTTGGACACGTAAGCATTAGAAATCATGAAAGTGAATTTCAATGAGATCTTCAATACACCTTAATGAGGAAGTATTAAAAAAAATAACATTAGTTCCCGAAATCAAACTAGATGTCTCTACGGTACGTTCTTGTTTTCTTTCATGTTTAAAAGTAAATTAGTTTTCAAAACTTAATAAACAACTCATATTCTATTTGTACTTATTCGTATTTGTATTGATATCTAAGCTTCGAACTTTTCAAATTCCAGTTTTTTAATATGTTAGTTAAAAGGAACAAAAATGAGGAACAAAAATCAACTTTTGCTAGATTCGCCATCTGGTGGAGGTGCTTTTTTAGTGCTTTCGTTTATTTTTTTAAATACTTCCTCAATAAAAAAGTTTAAAGCAACTGGCTATGGATTAGAGAATTATTAAAAATTTGTTGAAGTATACCAAAACTACGCAATGATCAGTTGCCTACAGAACTCTGTAAACAATTTGTTTCGGTTGTCCTCAGAAGTTCTAGAGTAACAGATAAGAGGAGTGGCTGTCCGTTCCAAGAGAAAAGAGAACCAACATATGTATAGTAAAAGAGCAAAAGCGTACGGCTGACGACTGTTTCTCTCTTTCATTAATGTCAATGTCAATGTCAATAAATGTCTTAGAAATGTCAACGTTGATAAATCTAAGGGTTTGTAAATAAATTTTCTCGTATATAATGTTTTTCGGAACTTATACTCATATATAAGCTTATTACGGGTAATAATGGATTTTGAAAGCCCAGACGTGGAAAAAGACTTTCCAGGGTTATATGCGTCAGAAGCTGGCCGTAAAAGTAATGAAAGTGACTGTAAGTGGGAATCCCAATGATCTATTAAATTTATCCATGCTACTGTGTATTTGATCAAATAGCACATGTTAGTTTTCCTTAATTTCATTGAAATTTAGCTTTTTACCCTTTAACTGCATAAAAATTTTTTTACCCTTTAACTTAATAATCTTATCAATGTAGTTAGTGATGGTGGGGAACATGAAAAACCAAGCAAGAAAGATTTACTGGGCCGCCGGAAAGAGAAAAAGGAATCTAAAAAAGACAGGGGCTATGCTGCTCTAGAAGGAGAAAGTTCTCCTGAAGAAGATACAGACACAAAGTCAGTATCAAGTTTTATTTTTAAACTTCTTATTATTAGTTTTGAAATAATAAATACTGAAGTTTAAATATAATTCAAATTTATTTATTATTGTTAACACAGCAAAGAAATATGTGCAGTAAATGTTTTTATAAAATATGCAAAACTTCAGCCTAATATTATTGTCAGGCACAGGTGCATAAAATCACATAGGATGAGAGTAAACCCACCACATGGGCCAGTTCTGGATGTTAGCAACTTGCTGCTATACTGCCACAGCTGACTTTATGTGCCTAGTAATTGTCTTAGTCTAAACTCAAAGAGAAACACCATTTGGTTATAAAACTATGTGGCATATTGGTCCAATGATCTTAATGTCATTCTGATTTTTTCCTGATATTTTTTTCTAAATTGTGTTTATGTAAGTTTATAGAGATAAACTGTATTTATCCATTATATAAACATAGGCCTAAAATTTTGTTTCTTTTTTGTATCATGGACACTTACATGTATTAATTTTTATTTGTTTGTTTATTAACAACTAGCTGTGTTCCTGCGGATTCGCCACATAAATTGTAGACTATAGCACCTCTGTAAAATAAAGCTTCCTTGTAGGTGAAATAATTTTCTTCAGTATTTCCAAAGAGAAGCCCCTTCAAACAAAGTCGAAAACTTAACCACTTTATAACATAAGTAAAGATATTGTTGACAAATGAAATCTTCGTATTCAACCTTCACCTTCTGCTTATTAAGTTTTATATGCATAAAATTTATTTTAGAAGTCCATCAAAATCAAAAAAGACTAAATCTTTCAAATTCCCTACAAAGAGTAAAGAGAAGAGAGAGAAATCTCGTGATAAAGAAAAAGTTTTGGACGATGCTCTTAAGCAGAGAGAAATAACAGAAAAAGAGAAGAAGAAAGAAAAAGAGAGGGAAAAAGAGAAAGAAAAAGAAAGAAAAAAAGAGAAAGAAAAGAGAGAAAAATTAAAGGAAAAGGATAAGGTAAGTCTATTATTTTTAACTGACTTTAAAAGAAGCAGGTTTTCAGTTGTGGTTTTTTAGCATAGTATTTGTCAGACTTAGGAGAAGTCGCTTTTAAAATAAGTATAATCTTTCACTTTTCAACTGACTTCAAAAAAGCAGGTTCTCGGTTTGACCTGTATGTATGTATGTATTCATAGAAAAAAAACATCTTTATCAAAAGTTTAAATATTTGTACAAAAATTTCTTTTGGCTCTTTGGGTGGATTGCCTGAACATTAATGAAAGTATGCTCTGTAATAGCTAAAAAGTAACAAGTGCTTGAAAAATTTGTCAGTCCTATTAGGTCATGGGTTCAAATCCCATCTCAGAGTGCCAGGTACAAAATGAATTTTTAATCATTTTTCATTAAAATATTATTATTTATAAAACAAATGTAAAATGCTTAAATACTAACATAGATAATACTATATTTAACTTTATAGTAATATGGGTTAATTTTAACAAAATTAATAGTATGAAGAAAAACAGCTATTAATCGTCATCTCGTCGAGATTACCAAAGGATATAGGGCCTATGCTGTCGTTTTGACTGTGATACGGAAGTTAAGCAACTCTTGCAAGGGCCGGTCATAGGATGGGTGACCAAAAATTTACTATTTCGAGTTCTACCGTGCTTCGGATAGCACGTTAAGTCGTTGGTTCCTGCTGTTTTTGCAGTTTTTAACACTAACCAATACACACTGGGACAGCGTAGTGGGTAATGGCCTATTCTCCGATTTGAAAGCCACCATGCGCCCCAACAGTGGGCACATTAATACATTGATGATGCTTATTATGACTACTAGTAGAATCGCTCGCGGTGGAGACCCCTTTGAGAGAAATGAATTTTGAGATGACAGATGATCGTTGAATGGAAGTAGAATGTATATAGGGCCCAGCCCAAATGAAAGTATCGGGGCAAATTATAAACCGAAATATAAAATATAAAAATATAATAAAAATATCGATTCCCGAGCCCTGGGTGGAACAAAGGAATGACGTAATATGCTATTTCCTTTAAGATTGACGTGTTACGAGGAAATATGGCACTCCCTTATTTCCACAACAAAAATAGCTAAGTCATCGAAAACAAATGGTGAAGGGAACTCACTGTTTTAAAAAATGTATCTCATTACAAAAGTTTGTATATTTAATTTGTAAAATAATTTTAATAAAAAAATGCTTACAAAATCCACTTTGTCCCTGGCACTCTGAGATGGGGCTCGAACCCATGAACTTTCACAATCTGGGCAGCTCTTCTAACCTCTGAGCTACCCAGGACCCAACAGGAATGACGAATCTTCAAGCACTTATTACTTTTTCGTGACTACAGAGCGTATTCTCATCAATGTTCAGGCAATCCACCCAAACAGCCGAAAGAAATATTTTTAAATATACAGCGAACCCCCGGTGATCCGACAAACGCTTTGCAGGCCAGTGTCGGACCATCGAATTTGTCGGATTATAGAGTAATGTCTAAGACCCCCTATAGTTCGGATTTTTTTACAAAGGAGTACCTTGTAATTCGACATATTACAGATAAGTGATCAGAATCTATATGTTATAAGTGCTCTGAAGTACAAATCATTCTTCATTATGTATATCGAATCTAGTAGGTAAATTAAACAACATAATATAGAGATTATGTATTAATATAATGTAAAAGTGATGTCATTAATGCTAGAACTTACAAAAAATAATAACTAACTTACATAAAGTTTATGATAGAAAATTATGATTAAAAATTGAATCAATCAATTTATGAACCATGAAAATATTCTTTAATTTTTTTTATGTCATAAATTGTAGATCGCCCTACGCCGTATTCACTTGCCAAACTATTGAAAGATTAATTTCGATTTAAGCGATCTAAAATATCAGATTTTTCTTTAATTATCAGAGTTTTGTGCTTTCGCTTGTGGGCTTGTGATGACATTACTAGGTACGTAATACACAATGAATAAACAGTAGGTAAACAATGAACGCACGCATGCTAGGCCGCGGACCACTATCACCTGTAGTCAAATTCATACTAAGCAATCCGAATCAAAACAAAACCTACGCGTCGAGCGCAATAATGGTGGCGCGCACAAGTTGTACCCTGTTCAATCATGCATTACCAAAAAATATTCGGACATGTCGGATTACAGGGGGCGCCGGATTAGACAGGGGCCGGATTACCGGGGGTCCACTGTATTTAAACTTTCGATAAAAATTAAAATTTGTTCTTTTTATGATATTTGATCAATTTTATGATATTTGATAAAAAAAATTCTTAAAAAATCCACTTTGTCCCTGGTATTCTGAGATGGGACTTGAACCCAATGTTCAGGCAATCCACCTAAACCGTCGAAAGAAATATTTTTACAAATATTAATACTTTCGCCAGAAACGAAAATTTGCTGATTAAGTAATTTATAATGCCCTTCCAATCCCACCCGACCTTTTTCACGTGTTCGATAGTACGTGATCCACTTTTCATCACTTTCTTCAATTCATCAGCTTCATCAAAAATGGTTCGGTTTCATTACGCCGTAATAAAGAATCAAAAATGAGTACACGATTCATTAAATTTATTTAAGTAAGCCCGTTAGGTACACAAATATACAACTTTTTTGTATACGCAGCTTTTTTCAAATGCGCCAATACTGTTTTGTGGCCAATCTCCAGTTCTTCAGCTACGTCATAACTACTGATATGCCGATCTTGCTTCACTTTTTTTTAAAAATGGCATCTATTTTATCCGTAACAGGGCGACGTACATCTTTGTCATAAAAATTTCCGGACTGAAAACGCTTAAATCAAATTTGAGCTACTATCACAGAAACTGCAATGGGTCCATAAACGTCCTAATTTTTTTTCGCGGCTTGCTTTGCGTTTTTACCTTTTACGTAATATTTTTTTTTAAATGTTTCAAATTTCTTCATTAGATTCATTCATTTTGACAGTAAGAAAAACAAATGAAAATCATACATTTTCCTTCGTTTTAATTAATCATACATTTTAATTTTAATTCGTAGTTTACTTTAAAATTTAAACTTTAAAATGGTATAGCTACATTTTATTAAAAGTTTAAGCATATTATATGCGAAAAGACTTTTCTACTAAAACGAATTTAGTTTGAGTAAAAAAAGGTTTTTTGATGTTCAAATCGGCAGGTTAATTCCGGTAGCCGAAAAACCGGGCTGCATGCCCTAGTGCGTTGTAACGTGACGTCACTCGTCCATAGCGCACCAAGATGAAATTTTTGAAAAAGGCAGAAACGAAAACAGTCATTACTTGAAATCTACTCGCTCGATTTTTATATAACAAAAACAGGTGCAATCAAGCGATTTAACTGACCCGGTGATATTCCTCATTCTGTTACGTCATAGTTATATTAAACTCTATTGTCTTGAAATAAGATCGAAACGCTTGCGAAAATTATGACTCACCGTTGATGAAACGTCGTACCTTCTATTGTCAAAGTAACCTTGTCATTAGTTTCCAACTGTAATCGGTTTAATCTATTCATCGTGATATACTTACTACAGGCTACAGGTTTCCAATTACTGTAGTGTTGTTATGCGAACCTGGTATCGAGTTAATTTTTCGTTTGTGTAATTAAATTTTCATCTGATGTACCTATAATAATATTTTTTTATCCTAAAACACATTCAAGACGGTGAGCAGTCTTCATCTGATAATTATTGAGAGTGAAATAGTAAAAACTATAGATACATATATAAATATCTAGTGTATTATGGTAGATAAATCGGACCGTGGATATTGTTTACTAATCCTTGTTTCATAATTTAATATGATTAGTAACCTTCGCGAATTACATGAATTTCAAGCCTCCTAATATAATTTTTTTTCCTTCGATCCATCCAGTAGTTTGAGTGTGTGTTGAAGGATCTCGCAGTCAGTCACCATTGTCTTTTTATATTATAATCCAGCTTTCCGCCAGCGGCTTTGTCCGCGTCATCCTGTATTATTATAAATATAAACTTTCCACCTGAAAACCATTAACCATTAGAATCCGTTATGCAGATTAAAAAATTGATCGAATATAATTCTTTTTTTTTTATGAATTAGAAACTGACACAAAATCTAACACCGGCTTTTGCCTAAGCTTGTTTTGCATGAAACCCACGGTTTTGTTGCGGCCTTGTGCAAACATTTTCACGTTGATCGTTTAACCACAGAGTGAATTAACCTCAGTCGCCTGTAGTCGTTCGAACATGCATCACTTGCGCAGTGTTTTCAATAAGGTGTGTTTTTGGACGTGTTACGAACTGTTTTTGTTGTGGTCCGAGTTGCGTGATCGTGAATGGTTAATACGGGAAAGTGTGAAATTGGATGTGTTGTTTAATTGTTACCAAACTTGAGATGGCATTGTGTTTCCTCTTTCGAAATAGTCAAAACAACTTTCAAAATCAAAATTTACAACAAACTACCAAAATTGGCTTATTGAAAGCGCTGTGCTTAGCATTAAATGGGACGTTTGAATTTATTATTTAGATTATTACTGTTTCAAAAACTTTATTAGCGGGGGTCTTTCATTATTCCATTTAAAAAATGTGTCTTCCATAACCAAATTTCACGTTCCACTTTTTCATCAAACATAAGCTATATTACTTTATTATTTAAAGTTTCATCGCAGTTGTGTAATTAATAATAAACATGTGTCACGCAATTAAAAATAATATCATACTATAATACACTGTTTGTTTTGATACATTACAATTTGCTAATGTATCACGATAAATCAATATAATGTATTCCTTAAATTGCAGTGTTCCCGCCAACATGTGGGTGATCTTAATAACTTTGCATGCAAGTCCATTGCTTGACAAATGTAGGTTAAGAATTAAGCCTTGGCAGTGTCTTGGCTAGATTAACCGATTCATATTATACCTCCCTTGAACATGTAACTTAAATTTTTCGACCTATAAAACTATATTTTTTTATAATTTGGTTACGAGTAACGTAAACGTACTTATAATTTCTCCAGATTTTTCCCTTGACTTGCACCTACTATAAAACGATGTTACTTGCTAAATTTCATAGTTTTAGATCGACGGGAAGTACCCTACATCTTTAAAAAGCTGTATTTTTTGACAGTTTGGAAAGGCGATATCTCCACGTATTCTCTAAATGAAGACTTGGCAGACAGACAGACAGTAGGACAACAAAGTGATTCTGTAAGGATTCCCTTTTTTCCTTGTGGAGTACTAATCTCTGCAATAAATAATAATACAAAAATATTCCTAATCGGAAAAATAAGCTACAAAATAGAGTGGGACGTACTCGTATTTATTTACTCTAGGGTCAAAAAACCAACGCCGGACACAATAGTCTACGGAGTGAGTGCGGCTTATTTATTTATTTCTTGTGCGTTTTTTCATTTGTCATCATCATTCTCCTGTCGCATTAATTTATGGAGCGTCAAACCTAATAGACCTAACAAAATACCACTGGACTTAGACACTTGTTTAAGAAACTGAAGTTAACAATAGGCACTTTATTTTCCAAAGTTATTGTGAGCTCTTAATACGTACTACGCATTTTACTGAAGGGCATACCTGTCAGTTACAGGTACTGATTACGTTGCGTTCCATTGAATGTGTATTAAACCGTGATAATATATACGCTAGTATCAGATCGATGTTCTTACGTTCAATCATATCAATACAATAAGAACAAAATTAAATTGTTTTATGACACGATAACTTTCAGTTTCCAGTTAATAGTTAAGTTCACCGAAATGAAAGAGGTGTGATTTTTAGGTTAAAAGATATATTTTATTATCAAACTCTTAATTTTATATACTTCGAAATTGTATTTTTTACGTGATACACGTACAGGATGGGAGACAATTACACGAGTAGACCTACGGACTAAAGAAGTCCGTTTAGTCTCCGTTGCTGAACCCAAGGAAGGCTACGACACACCTTTCACAATCAAATCAATCGCGTGTTGTTCCAAGGTGACGTCAGAAGTAATAAATACCGAATATGTATGAATAGAGTAAAGAAAGTAGAGAGGGCGAAAGATGTATGTTAGTACTGTGCCTTGTGGCACTCAGTCCTCTGTTTACCCCGCAAGGAGACGTGAAAATCTGCGACCTAGAGTTCTTCTGTGTCCTAGCAGTGGGGATGTTAATATGTTGACGTCGCTCTTAGCTATTTCTTTTTCTAGAACTTGCTACTCATAGTGCTTAATTTGTTCGTTAGTAACTAATTTTAGGGTTCCGCATCCAAAGAGGAAAAACTGGACCCTATTATTAAGACTCCGCTGTCCGTTCGTCTGTACCTCAAGAACCGTGATAGACAGTTGATATTGTCACAGATGATGTAATTCTATTGCCGCTATTAAAAACAAATACAAAACATAATAAAACAAATAAAACGTGATTTTTGTTGCTCGTTTATGGTAGTGACTTCGTGCGCAAGTCCCATTCACGCTTTTTATTTTTTAAGAATCATATCTTATTTATTTGTTTTAGCATCACCAAAGTGGCAATTACTAACTTTATTATGCTCCGCCCTTTCCCCTATTTATTTTCTATAGCTGTTTTCTCTTAAATAGTCTAGGTCACCCGCGTATGATGTAGGTGAAAGACTTTGTAAAATCAGTTCCTGGTGTTTCAGAGCTTTTTCGATATAAACAAACACGTATATTCAAATGTTTCCTCTTTATAATATTAGTATAGATTGTACATTTGTACATGCTCAAAACCCACCTACATAGTTTTCGTAATCATATTTAACTTTAATAAACATGAATATATTATGGATCGTTTGTGTTCCTATGAGATATGTATTTAAATGAGTTTCATGATTATTTCTGACTTGTGTTTGTGTTTATTGTTAAAAGTTAACCTCTTTGTAGATTTTAATAAGAATAAATGTTTACATTTGTTTCGTTTACACGAAAATTTGCGTTGTAGTATTACAAAGAGAATTTTCACTAGACGACGATAATAACATGGCGTTTGAGAAATATACGTGCATTTAACTGCTACTAATACAAGTTCAAACTGATAGTTATCCGATAATTGAATTATGGAGGTTGAAAGTGAATAAAAAAAACATAAATGAAGTTAAATTAACTAAAAAATAGCTTTTGCCGTATTTATTATGGGATCTGTCCAAAATTTTGTTAGTTTGCTTTATTTATACGCTGCACTGAGGAGTGCATGAGTATGCATAAATGACGCAAAAATTTCCAACCTGGACATCGGCTGAAATATCGATGTGTAATTTATGATACAGTATAAGTTTGATAAATGGAATTGATAAATAGGGTTAGGTCACTAGCATGTTTAGGGCGCACATGTTAACTATGAACCCACCCAATATCCCAGCGAAAGATGTGTGTAGACTATGACTTGTAGCACTCGATTCTCTACTAACCCCGGCCAAGGGATTCGGCGTGACAATATCTACACCTACACCCTTTTTTTTGTGTTGGCCCAGCGATAATACGGCAGAGCAGAACATTGGTGGAACTCACCCCCGCTAACAAATCTATCCAGGAGAAATACCAATGAGCACGTCAGAAAGTGAATCTTACCAACTAAAACTCTGGGCATGCCCTCAGTTTGGATGGAAGTGACGCCTGTAACCCAAACATAGTGGCCGAGAGATATAAAAAAATGAAAAAATGGATATAAAAATGCTACCAAAAGCAACTAATCTTTGTAAAAAGTCTGTGAAATAATGTAGAAATCAATGATCTAATTATAATACCGAAATTATATATTTACACAATTACATAGAATCTGTGGTTGAATCATTTATTATTTGTTCTCAGGAAAAAGAAGAAAAAGCCAAATTCAAATTGGAGTCTAAAGAAAAGCTCAAAGATGAGAAAAAAGACAAAGTGAAGGAGAAGGACAAGGAAAAAGTGAAAGAGAAAGATAAAGAAAAAGTCAAAGAAAAAGACAAGGACAAGAAGGATAAGAAATTGACAAAAGTGCCGTCGACAGTGACGGCAGGGGTGCCGTTTGAAGAAATTTTCACATTGGGAGGTAATGTAATACATACGAGTATTAAGTATTATGTATGTTCCATTGTATTAAGTTATTTATGAAACCAAAAATATAAGCTTCAACATATTATATTTGGTAAATTTTGTCTCTGCAATACTATTGTATAAAACAATCCGAGTTTGTCCAATTATTTACAATTACACGTATATACTCGTACATTACTTTTATCAACTTTCTAATATACAAAATTATATTTTTAGTTAGTAAGAAACAATCAAATCGATAATCGAATTTTGCTAAATGCGATATCAGAGCATATCGAATAAAACAAACAAAGATAAAGAAAATGATAAATGCCACACATAATTTACAAACACTCACCCAAGGTAAACTGATAAGAACAGGTTTAATAACAAGTTATATGTAAAATAGTCTATTGCATTTCAAATCATGAATCCTTTTCTCCAAGGATTTCATATCGACGGTGAGTTTAATTAATGTTAATTAGCGTTTATTAAGAAGGCGATAAGGTCTAGATTAGGTGAACTCAATTATGGGCATAATGAACAACAACGTCTTTGTTGTTTGCTTGAAGTAAAAACAGGTGCTAAGACTCGATTCATAATGTTTTGATGTCTATTTATAGAAAGCAATACTTACTCGTTTTATTTTTATGCATTTGTATATTGGTTTAATGTTTCACAATAGACTGGATTTACTGATTGACGCATACTTATTCTAAGGTTTGACTTCTGTATGGGTGGAAAATTTAATTCCAATTTATTTATTTATTTATTCTCCAGAAACACTCAATTCTCTATTTTTTTTCTTTGTTGAAAATATTCGACAAAATCTTATTGAGTATTGTGTTGTATTTCATAAGAAATATTCTATGAGCCCATTATTAGGATGCTTTTTAGTGTAAGTCGAGTTGTGTAAAGTTTGTGTTCTGTGATTACACACCCACATAAAGTCGACGACAAGTCAGAGAATTCACAATGTCACAAAATGTCGTTACTTGAATTAGGTATCACACTAAGAAGATTCTGCATCAACTTAATAAACGTTTTCGAACTTGCATCGTTCGTACCGAGGCCTGAGGCAATTTTCTTATAGTTCCTTTTAATTGAAACCTTTGGCTTACGAGAATCTGAAACAACGTACGTTTTATGTAAGTCAAACTTATAATTATATTTATTCAAATAAACTTATTAATAATACTTTTGATTCGTCCACCTTTTTTTTTTACGTATCACTCGTTCAAGACGTCTTTTGGCTGGTAAGAAAGAATGAGTGAAAGAAACTCACCAGCTATAACAGACAATATTAATTTCTTGTGTATAAAAATAAAAAATTAAAAAATGACCTTACAATGATAACGTAATAAACGGCAAAAAATTTTTGAAATAGTAGTAGACATTGTAGATGCGCACATAAAGTTGCCATGAAGCAGCCCTTGTTTGGTTTTTTTTTAAGCTTAGTGATCGGCCATGTTCGTTTTTATTTATTTCTAGTATTCAAATTGTACATTACTTTTCATAAGATCCCGATAAACTATTAAAATATTGTCCATCCCCAATATTATCAAACCATAGTGTCATATCACATAGTCCATAAGCACTTTTATATGACACTTTATTTTTGTGTTCTAGTTGCTCTGCCTATCTTTGGTGTTCCGCTGCAGCAATCCGTGGAGAGATCCAGATGCCACGATGACTTCAGACTGCCCCTGGTCGTTCGCGACAGCATCGACTACCTACAGGTACCTAATTAATTTGTGAAATCTTGAGAAGAAAATAAAAGAAGGGTCTTTAATGTGTTTATTTTTTAAGACAACAATTTCGACGGTGCTTACGTAAATGTTTACGAAATTTTGGAAAGAGCTTTGCTTACATTCTCTGAAGGGGCGCGGGGTGATTGCTGCTTACCTAATACTGGACTTGAATAATCCGCGAAAAGAAAACAAATACAAAATTAAGGCAATCGCTTCACATTTTATTGATAGCCATGAATCTAATAATAATATTAATAGAATAGGATATTATTAAGCCGAGAATAAAATCACATTTTTTTCGTGCGCGTCCGTCCTTTAAAAGGTACGGTAAGCAGACGTAACACCTACCAACGCACACTGGACTCAGTTAAAGACCAGTCTTCCCGTATTTTCCACTATGGGGAGGGCATATGCAAAGGACACAATAACATGCTGATGGTGATGATATTATTTTCAGGCGCACGGACTCAAATCCACTCAGATATACCGCGGTGAACCGGATAAGATCAAGTTGCAGCAACTCCGCAAGTTGTACACGGACCGAGGGCCGACGTTCCCTTATCATTGGGATGTTCCCGTCGCTTGTGCTATACTGAAAAGTTTCATTAGGTAATATAAACCTTTGAACAAACAAAATTTTGAAGTATTTAGTTAAATGACGATGTTCGATTCGACTTTTTGAATAGCACGACAAGACATATTACAAAAGTTCCTACCTTAAAAGTACATTCTTATTCTGAAATCATCATCAAACATGCCTTTAGCATATTGCAAGAATGTCTGTGTGTTAACAGTAGATTCCTATCAGCACACAGATGTTATACCTATATTCATTGTTAATTTTATAAGTATAACTGCAATTTCAACATACATATTACGAATATTCGCTTGGTATGTAGTATTCGGCATCTTTTTCACTATTCTTATTCGGCCGAATTATTCGGTTTTGGTGTTGAATACATTCGGTTCGAATATTCCTATTTTCTTAGTTATACAACACTATATAATAATAAAATACATTTCGGTAAAGAAAAATAAGTCACGAAATTATATACTAAAATTTATAATAAATAAGTTAATATTAATGTCAGTCACAAGATCGCATGATTATCTAATAATTGAAAGTAGATATTTTTTGTCTGTGAACTGTGTAAATACGACTAGTTCGATAAATTTTAATTGAAGAGTCATCTCTATTCAGCGAACTGCCCGAGTCCATCTTGACTCAAGAGTTGCACGGACAGTTCGAGCAAGCCACTGCCATCGCGGAGCCGCAACGTGAAGCCGCCATACTCGCCCTCACCGCCCGCCTGCCGCCACACAACCACGCCCTGCTAGCGTGCCTACTGCGGCACTTCCAAGCCGTCCTCTCACACGACCAGGTACCACGACCACGCCCCGCTAGCGTGCCTGCTGCGGCACTTCCAAGCCGTCCTCTCACACGACCAGGTACCACGACCACGCCCCGCTAGCGTGCCTGCTGCGGCACTTCCAAGCCGTCCTCTCACACGACCAGGTAGCACGACCACGCCCCGCTAGCGTGCCTGCTGCGGCACTTCCAAGCCGTCCTCTCACACGACCAGGTACCACGACCACGCCCCGCTAGCGTGCCTGCTGCGGCACTTCCAAGCCGTCCTCTCACACGACCAGGTACCACGACCACGCCCCGCTAGCGTGCCTACTGCGGCACTTCCAAGCCGTCCTCTCACACGACCAGGTAGCACGACCACGCCCCGCTAGCGTGCCTGCTGCGGCACTTCCAAGCCGTCCTCTCACACGACCAGGTACCACGACCACGCCCCGCTAGCGTGCCTACTGCGGCACTTCCAAGCCGTCCTCTCACACGACCAGGTACCACGACCACGCCCCGCTAGCGTGCCTGCTGCGGCACTTCCAAGCCGTCCTCTCACACGACCAGGTAGCACGACCACGCCCCGCTAGCGTGCCTACTGCGGCACTTCCAAGCCGTCCTCTCACACGACCAGGTAGCACGACCACGCCCCGCTAGCGTGCCTGCTGCGGCACTTCCAAGCCGTCCTCTCACACGACCAGGTAACACGACCACGCCCCGCTAGCGTGCCTACTGCGGCACTTCCAAGCCGTCCTCTCACACGACCAGGTAGCACGACCACGCCCCGCTAGCGTGCCTGCTGCGGCACTTCCAAGCCGTCCTCTCACACGACCAGGTACCACGACCACGCCCCGCTAGCGTGCCTACTGCGGCACTTCCAAGCCGTCCTCTCACACGACCAGGTACCACGACCACGCCCCGCTAGCGTGCCTGCTGCGGCACTTCCAAGCCGTCCTCTCACACGACCAGGTACCACGACCACGCCCCGCTAGCGTGCCTGCTGCGGCACTTCCAAGCCGTCCTCTCACACGACCAGGTACCACGACCACGCCCCGCTAGCGTGCCTGCTGCGGCACTTCCAAGCCGTCCTCTCACACGACCAGGTACCACGACCACGCCCCGCTAGCGTGCCTGCTGCGGCACTTCCAAGCCGTCCTCTCACACGACCAGGTACCACGACCACGCCCCGCTAGCGTGCCTGCTGCGGCACTTCCAAGCCGTCCTCTCACACGACCAGGTACCACGACCACGCCCCGCTAGCGTGCCTGCTGCGGCACTTCCAAGCCGTCCTCTCACACGACCAGGTACCACGACCACGCCCCGCTAGCGTGCCTGCTGCGGCACTTCCACACCGCCTTACTCACCGAACCGAACCTTACCCAAATATTTTTGTTCCAATTCAAAGATATTAAGTATCTGTCGTCGGTTCTATTGATGCTATCTGTTGTTTGTATACACAAACTATTTGCTATATTCATTCAAATGATTGAATTCAATATGGGCTTAATTTCTTCTTGCTATGGATATCATGTTAAACCATTGGTCTCGGTTGCATCTACAGTTAACATCCACCAATCCGCATTGGTTGGGCTTGGTGGATTCTAACTCTTTTTCCTTATTTAATACCATTGAGAGAGTGGTGTAGTTCAACAATAAAGATTTTAATATGCTAATGATAAAAAATTGTGTTTTTATATTTTTCAGTTTAACCATGCAAACATTCAGACTATTACAACAGCGATGGGCCCAGCGTTAAATATGTCTTTCAATCTTCTTGCTTATTTGATCAGTAAAACAGACAAGTTGTTCCCGAACATACAATTGACTAAGTAAGTAGGATTTTTCTAATTTATTTATTTACAATCGTATTCATATATTATGCTATGTTATAAAAAGTTTAGACAGTAAAAAGAATCATCACTAGCAACCCTCGTCAAAAGTCCCACGGTGGGCGCCACTATAGCTTCACTGGCGCCCATCCTATAACCATTATTTCCTTATATTGTCCAGTATTTTTAAATCATATTTCAATAAATTTTGCACATGCGATCCATTTATGATAAAAAAATATGTATACTTATTACCATTTTAATAATTAAACCACTAATATTAAGTTTCGTTTCTATCTTATATATAATACTTCCTGGTTAAAGTACTTTACATCTGAAGTGCTTTATCCAAATCACTGACCCGAGTGATACAGATATCTAAAACATTGTATTTAACGCCTTACGGTTTTTTAAACAAGACGCACTGTACAACACTGTAGTCAAGTACATTTTAACCGTACACTCTGTTGATGTCGGCATTTGTAGGTCTGCTTTGCGCAAACTAAGAATCACCATGCGCCATATTATGCATGGTCGCCGAACAGAAAATATTTTGTACAATGACTCGGCATTACATATCTCTTTCCCTCGTGCGTTTTCATATTGCTATTGCGCTCTCTCAGATGTATCTTACCAATTTTGTAATAAATTGAAGTTGGAATTTCCTGTACAGTCAAGTACAATACAGTCATCACTGTTATCTAACCATTATAACATGTTTTTTTCTTCATCCTTCATATTTGTTTTATAGATACGTGCCGCCGCTACTGTCTATTCCGGCGGATTTCCCTGAGAGTGGGGCGGCTATAAGTGCAGAGTTACGCAAACAGGAATCATTATTAGCTCAGCTGCACGCGGAGATGCACGCCGGATTCGTAACGCCCGCACGAGATCAACGACTATGGGAAGCGCAACGAATCGTCACTCAACTTAAGGTATTTTTATTTACTTAAAATTGCTCAGATGCCAAACGAAACGACATCATTTCGGACTTTTATTATGAAAATATGAAACAACGAAGTACCACAACACCCAGACCCGAGGCAATATAGAAAAGTTAATTGAATCGAACCCAGGTCCCCAAAGATGGCAACAACTTGCATGACCTACATGTAAGCCGTGGTGTGGTTAGATTAATTTATTTGGTAACACAACGGATATTAATCTAATTACCAGATATAATGGCAACTATTTAGTATCAGATTAATTCCATAAAGGTGTTTATGACAGTTTTATTTACAAATTTATTTATTTGATAAATAAAATGTGCAATTTTTTTTGTATGGAACTAAATTCTTTAGCTTTTGCAATTGGCTTATCTCTTATAAAATATATTGGATATAGTAACTTATCTATATGTAAACAATAAAAATGAAGTATTTTTGTTTTAAAAAACATTATAGAATATTCTATTTTTGCAAGACTAACTTGCGATATGGTCTGTGGATTACAAAAACCTAAACATGGCCGACCATGACGGAGCTTCATGTGACGTCACATTTCAATAAACTAAAAGTCAACGTTTTTATTGTGAGGGCTATCAGTACTCATGTTTAGTAAAATGTGACTGTCATCATGGCTCCAAATATTACGTGATTTTTTGTTTCGCGGGATAATTTAAATTAATGATCAAAAATATATTTTTCCTTTATTTAAATATCACTTTTTAGAGAAAGTAAATCTGATAATTAAAGTTTTGAAATGTTTTTTCCCAAAAGAGTCAAATAGTCTACTCTACTTATTATTTTTAAACTGAAGAGACCACTTAGATTACTTATTCAAAACTAGAGTGTATGACTAAAATCCCTTTGTTAATAATTTGAACAACAACAATCACAATGAAATAAATGGAGCTTTTGCGAAACTGTAAAATATTTATAAAGCGTGAGAGAATTCTTATTTCACTATTATGTAGGGTTCTGTTTTGTAAAAGTAATGCCATTTTATGAGCAAAATATCGTTGTTTCGTATCTCATCTCACGCACATGAAAATCGTACCATACTGCTCATTTGTGACGTGAGAGATGAGCAAACAAACATGTTTACCATTAATATTATTTATAATGGATTCATGATAAACATTTATTACAGAGAAAATTGCGAGCCGTGCAGAAGTCTACTGAACCGAACTCGTTACCGCCGCAGCCATCAGTGGACGAAAAACCCGAGGAAGATATCGTACGAAGAAACTCCCAACCGAACGACACAAACGTGACGCAAACCGAAAACAAACCATCCCTCCCCACTCCGCAAACGTCAGACGCTTTCCGAGAAAAATTCCCTGAGACTACTCCCGACAAATTCTTAGAGAAATTCCCAGAAGATATCACTGATAAATTTGTAGAGAAGTTCCCCGAAAATATTCCCGGCGCATTCGTTGAAAATTTTCCAGAGAGCGTATCGGACAAGATCGCAGAGAAATTCCCAGATGCCTTCCCCGATATCGAATCGCCAAAACAGGAGATCGCTTTCGACGCCGAATTCGAAGATAATTTCGATTTCACAGCAGAAGCGAAGGAAACTACTAAAGTGGAAACGCCTGTCGAACCGGCCATAGAGAAACCAAAATTCACTGAGAAAGAATTGCGAGTACTTCGTTTAGAACTTGAAAACGCTGAATATCTGCAACTGAAATCGTTGCTGCAAGCGAAAATCAATTCTGAGCAATTCGAAATAGTGAAGCTCAGAAGCCACGTCGCTTTGAAGAACAAACAGGAAGCTGCTCAGAATAATAAAGAAAACAAAGAGAGTAATACCCCAGAAGAGCAAGAATTGAAACAAAGACTGATAAAAGAAAATGCGTTGCTTGAGCAGAAAAGATTGAATCTTATCAATCAGATTTTCCAAGAACGAGTTGCTTGCATACATCTTAAGATTGAACTCGCTATGAAAGAAATACTAAAGTCCTAAATTATCACAATAGGGTAGTTTCGGTAGTGAAAATTAAGTTACGAAATTGCGCATAAACTGAAATTTACATAATTATAAACAAAGTGATTCTAATTCTGTATCTTAAGATCGCACGATTTCTTAAAAGTCGTGATTTTTTGTCTCTGTATCACGTGACTTGAAACACATCCCGCCATTGTGCGACGTCACTGTGGCGACAACTGTCAGATTAGTCATAAAGATATACCTATTAATTATAAATCAAATTCCTAGATGGCGCTGTTCTAAGCTTATTTATATCTTATTTCGTAATCGTTCTTGTTTTGTTGACATCTTTTTATCTTCTGCTCTATGCATCTGTTTTGTGTACATATCACAGTGACGTGATAAATATGACGGACAACGTTTATGCGAGTATAAAAAAAATTATGTAACTTTAAGGCAAGAAAACGTATTTATACATTAGTTTTATGGCTTTATTTAATTGAAATAAACAGTTGTTAGCATTATTTCAAACGGAGTAGAATGCCCTATTGTTGATAATTTATTATGTTGATATTAGCCATTTCCGTTGTATATTCGTGATCATTCTCAAATATTGTAGGTTTAAGCATATTATAATCTCAAGTTAATATTATTATGAAATATATCTATAATATAAATAATAAAGACTTTTTATTTACGTACAATTATTAATTCAAGAAATAAGTTAACAATTCCTAATAGACAATAGTTCAAGCGAAAATAATCACCACAGAGCAGTGCAAGGATTTAAAAAAAATTGTTTAATTAAATCCTTCATGGACAATCTTATATTTATTAGTGTCACTTCATAACAAAATATTCCACTACATTTGGATTTATCAATAAAATTATCGAAAGTCATTCATTATCACGGATTTAATATGATAAGTTAGTTATGTAACCTTTAATATACAATTACTCTTGGTTAACATTTTTAAGTACATGCTCAATCTACGTTGCTTTTATTTAAAACTAGAAATATTGTAGATTAATGAATAAACGCATCAAATAATTATTAACTGAAATAATAAGGCTGAATTAAACGCTAAATGAATTATTAGCACATACTAGAATCATTATCTTCGAGATAAATACTTAAAAACTTCACCATTCCCACGTGCCCTAGATGGGATTCAAACACGAGCCCGGATTGCGAAAGGTTATGGGTTCGAATCTAAACAAAGTTCCTGAATTATTGAGGAACCAACCGCTTAAACGATTTCAAACAATTTATATTTCATTGGCGTCCTCCGTAATCGAGCGGCTTATGTCCGTTTCAAAGTGCCGCTATCTCTGGGGTCCAGGGTTCTATTCCCGGTCGAATCAATGTAGTGTTGTTGTACCACCTTCGTTGTTTCAGATACTTCAGGATACGGGGACGTTAGCTACATACACATCTTGAAATCTGAGCAATGTAATGTTTGGAACAGAGATTTCATTGTCTATGTGATTGTGTTGCTTCTGTTTTTGTCCCAAATAAATGGAATTTTTATTTATTTTATTATGTTATTTGTTTTTATTATTTATTTACTAATCATTCTTTTTAGTGGTGTTCCGTAGTAAACCAAGAACCCTTATAGATCGCCATGTCCGTCTGTCCGTCAATTCCGCGGTTTAGCTCATAAATTATTTGTACTAGAAAGTTGTTAATTACGCCAACAAACAACTAGTTGCACAACGTTTATTAAAATATTCATTTGTTTAAATCTTAATTGCTCAAACAAATTTGACATTCATTAGAATTTAAACACCTTATTAAACCTTAATGGACTTCTTTGCAACTGACCGAAAATGATAAGTAAAATTTCGATGGACGTAAAATGGACGAAATAAAATTTAAGTGGGGGTACACTACATGTAAAGTGAGGATAAATATTTTGTTTTCATCTTTCCATAGTGTGGGGCATCGTTGGATAGGTCTTTCAAAAACATTGGCGGTGTGGGAATGCCAATTTCCGAATTAGTAGACCGTGTCACGTAACTTTAAAGAGCTACTTTTCGTTAGAGTCAAGTGTCCCCCTCCACCAACTTAACGGTCGTAGGTAAAATATCAAACATTACGGCACTAGTACCTCTATATAACGAACTCAAAAGGAAAACTATTACACTCAAATTAGCTTTAGAAGTTTACGAGTAATAGTCGACCAATTGTATTTAACTCGAAAATTTCGAACAACTCCATAGAAAACAATAAACGTGATTTTTTTTACTTGTTTTAATGGGTAAGGACTAAGGAACCCCTTTGTGCGCGAGTCCGACTCATACTTGGCTGATTTTTTAAAGAACTAAACCAGTTTAATTGATTTGTCCATTTTAAAGTGAGTCATGAACAGGTTCAGCTATTGTATTGAATAGGTCAGTCTGCTTTTACTGGCTTGTACATAGAATTCAACTCGTGCCAATCTATTGTTGTTAACAAAAATATATATCATGCCTTTGTATAGCATAATGAAAATCCACGGTCAACTTATTAGTCAAAGATGCAAATTTACGAGACTTGACAGACAATGATCTCACTGAACTTGCCTAATTTGCATTTAAGTTTGGAGTTTGGCCGTGCCTCCGCCGTTGGTCGCGTTGTTAAGTACCTAATCCCACTATGAGTAAGACCGAAAAATATAATTTTTGTCTATTCGAAAAATCTGTGGTCCTATTGAAAGCGGAAAGCTTAAAAATTTTGCATTACCCTATACACCACTGCTGGGACGCAGGCCAAATAATAGAAGCACAAAAAAAAACATACAACTCATACCAACTTTTAATAAACTTCCGAAGAATAAAGCTCAACATTAAAAATTTTCAATGACCAACCTCTTCAAAAGTTTATTAACCTCAACAATTGCAAATGGTACATCCTTCCCACTGCGCCATCGAGCTTTGCAAGGAGAACTGATCTAGATCGCCATAATTCTGGTGTGTACAATAATATGTTTCCAATTTCTTTATCGCAAGTTTAAATCGATTTATAGAAAATCAAGTGGTCTATTTTACACGCAACTTAAGTACGACATTACAGAACTTACATAAATCCCCGTGCGTTTTATTTAGGCTCTATGAAATGCAGATTCATCATCAGCAGCCCATCAATGTTTCCACTACCGGGGCACAGGCCTTCCGTGTGGATGGAATCGAATAGAGAGAATGGGCCATGCCCCACCATTAGGGCTCAGTGCGCATTGGTGGGATACAGCCGGGACCAAGGGCTTAACGTACCTTCCGAAGCACGGAGGAGTTCGAGATAATGTAGAATGTGTAAAGTTTAGTGATATTATAACAAATTTATAAGTATTCCAGCTCTTATAACTAACAAATTTAGTGATATTATAGATATTTACCGTGATTCACCTAACAAGCTCCGCTGCATCAAATTGTTCATGGAAAGGAATAAATGTTGCTTAAAAACCGAACGCACTAACAACTGTGCCATCGAGCTCCTACAAATAAAAATACATTACTCCAGGCGGGAATCGAGCCCGGTTACTCTGAAATGATGACAACAGACTGTAAGCAACTCAACTACCTATGGAGGTAGAACTTACAGAATTTGTATTTACTTATTTAACTTCACAAATTAAATCTCTGCATTTACAGCATAAACTTTACTAATAAAAATAAATATAAAACTGGTATTCTATTTATTATGAACAAAAATATTTATCCTCCTCGAATATAAGCCAAAAAAAGTTTCAATTATATTATATAACACTTATATTTTCTCCAAATAATATACTCCAAATATATAGTATATAATAAATAAGCCGTTGGAGTCAAAATTAAGACTATTCAAAACAATTTTATTCGTACTAAGTATATTGCAATTCGTACAGTTATTACCTACCACAGTATACCATATTAACCCATGGTCAACCATTGCAGTTGGTTAGCAGGCTACTAAAGCATAACCAGTAAAAGTGGCATCAATAATAATACCTGACTTAAGTCATTTTTTATATAACTCATATTACAAAGATTTGATGATTTTTGTTACTTATTTAAAAAATTCTTTCATCTACGGGCATGCTGTACCTAAACACAGTTGAAGTCGCAGGAAAACATCACGTAAATGTAAATATATTTAAATTAGTTTTATCCCTAATATGTAAATTAACTGCAATTAATTCAAAACCATTAAAATAGGATTATGCGGTAGGCATGAACAGGCTTATAGAATATGAAATATCAATATTTCTTACACACATTAACTAAAATACAATTAATAACGAAAAATAGACCAAAATAAACTGCAATGCCAGTAAACAAGAAATAATACTATCAACAATAACATAAGTAGGTTATTGCTCAGACACTCTGTAGCCTTGGGCTTTCATAAACCTAGTTAAATCAGTGCAACAATTGGTAAACGTTTTTTTTAATTAGCAAATGAACTGATTCAACAACGGTCCCATTATGACCGGTAGGTATAATTACGTTAATTGACGATATTGTATAAATATTAGTTGAAGGAAAACTATTTATGGAATAAAAATAAGTGATTAGCAGTTCGAGCCAAGTTGGGTTAAAGCGTATTTGGGACGTTTGTTTTAATATTCATTACATAATGAGTCGGCAGCGGACGATCAGCGCGCGCGTCGCTTTCACTCAGTCAGCGGTAATTACGAACGCGATTGTGTTCGCTCGGTAGTATTTACTCAACTGTTTCGGGTAAAAGATAAAGAAAACAGGCGAAACACTTCGCTACACGACGCTCGTATCTTATCTCATCCACTCTATTGATCACCCAGCATATATCGCGAACCGTTCGCCTTTTACGGACGATCGAGCTACCTTTATTGTCCAATTTAACTTGTAAACGTGTACTCTTTTATATACTCGCGATGTTACCGGTGAAGTCATAATGTGTGTACAAAAATAGAAATAACAGAAGTTTACAGGAAAATAGTATCAATAACAAAAGTGTTGCGGTTTCTAATCGAACGGAAATGGGCACTAAATCGCCTACGACCAGTGTGAAGTCTCGGGAAATGATCGGAGTGGACGCGTTCAGTCAGCGGCGCGAGGTGTTCGATAAGCACGCCACGGTGTTCATGCCGTCGTCGCCCACCGGCATGGTGCCCACGTATAGGGATGCGGATCCTATAGTCACTTCCAATCACGGTAAGACCACATCCAATTTCAAAAGGAACACAACCGGATCGTCGAGTTTCCGCGACACGAGAATGGACGAACGAAATTACGATTTTCGACCTCGGAAATATTCCGACAATTTTACCTCGGAGCTGAACCAGAGCGACGATATTGACTACAGATATAGCGCCATAGAGCGGACGAGGCGCCTGTCGAGGATGCGACGAGAATTCCTGACGTCAAATCTGCATGAGCCGACGGAGGACAAACCGTTTACACGCTCCGGCACACGAGCTTCCCTCCCCACTGGTAGGACCACTATGCTCAAATACAAGTTCGAGAGTCCCAATTTATTTAAATTTCCATTCGCTGAACCATATGCAACACCCCCGCCGGTAAGAAGAGTGACTATTGATGCTTCGAACGAAATTGACGGCAAAGAAAACGAAGATCCTGAATTAAGACCGAAACATCAGAGTATACCTAGCAATTCGCCGACAAAGGTAGACCATCAGAAGCTTTTCGAAGAGTTGGTTAAGAGATATTCACCCCAAAGGAAACCAATCGACTGGACACTACCTCCAACCAAGCCTCGAGTCGTTGCGTCCGTGCCAAAATCTACTTCCAGCGCCGCAGACTCCATCGACGCGGTGGAAAAAGATGCAGTTCAAAAGGTAGACGAAAATAATAAATCTGGTGATGACGACGTATTTGAAAATAAAGAAAACTGTATTGCTAATGGAGTTACCGACGAAAAAAAAGAGGTGTCCGAACCAAAACGTGAGACCGTTCAAAACGGACCAGAAAATTTGGCTGCCCAAGCTGATGTGAAAGATGCCGAAAAAGACGATCGATCAAGTGAAGAATCAAAAATATCACTATCAGAATTAGAGGATAAAAATGATCGCGTGACAGAACTTTCAATAATACAGAGACAGATCAGCAGAGAGTCTGCTCATAAAAAACCAATTACAATAGAACAAACCGATATAAGTATTCCAGCTCTTATTGATAAAATAACGGAGGAGGGCGACAAACTAGAAACCAATACCAAAGGGGCTAAGAAAGTGAAGAGGAAACGTAGTTTCTTGGACAAACTTCTTGGTAGGAAAAAAGATAAGTAGATTTGATATAGAGTTATCGTGATATCATAAGTAGAGGTATCATGAAGAAACCAATGGCCAAGTTACTGCATTGCTGCAAAGCCTGCCAAAGATTATTTATCATGATGATTGTGAGACATGACGTCAACCTTTTTTTATCTTTTGATACTATACATAAGTAGAACACTTCAATATAAAAGTCTAATTGTTAAAAAGTATTTTAAATGTTTTGTATTATTTGTGCCTATAAAAATAATTAAGATTAAGCATTCTATATATTTTTTTATCTCAATGCAGTGGAGGGTTATCAGTAAAACTGATAAACGTAAGTGCCATGTGACACTCCCTATCTGCCAAATTCTCAATGTACTTTGATTACTTTGAGGCGAACCTGTAATAAAAATATATACATATAAATAAAAAACTAATATGGAATAAATACAGAGCTAAATTGCTAAATTATTAAAATAAAGCTCTGCCAAGTTGTTTGACGACAGTTAGTCTATATTACAATAAAATACTGAGTGTATTGTACAAAATAATAATTATTAATATAATAATTATTAATTATTATTAAGACGTGTCGTGTAAGAGCACAATTTTCCTCGACTAGTAATAGTTAATGTTGGCTTCCAACTTGTACTCTATTATATTTATTATTTTTATTCCATACTATTATTTTTTATTACGAAACAATCGCAGGTTATGTCATCGTTTAAATAAAGTTTGATATGTTACCTTTTTTAAATAAAATACATTATTTATTGACAACAAGTTTTTAATTAATAAATTAAGAATATTTGAATTATTTATATAACACAAACAATGCAAACAATTCAAATACCTACATCGGTTTAGAAGTAACATAAAGTAACATAATCTTTTATAGCAAACTAGCTTTCCGCCAGCGGCCTCGCCCATGTGGTCCTGTATTATACATATAAGCCTTCCTATTGAATCACTGTGTATTGATGACGAACCGTATTAAAATCCGTTTTGTAGTTTAAAAGATACAGACAGCGTAACGCCCAGACATAGGGAGTGACACTGTATCATACTACTAAAGTTTGATATGAATAAAAGAAATATGATAGGTTTGTTTTATGGGGCTGACATTCCTACTTTCCTACACTATATCGTTTCTGAGGAGTTATGGATAAGCGATCTACTTATATTATGCTGAAAAGCAATGTACAGAGTGTAGTTTTCAGCGGATATGGTTATATAAAACCAATATAACTTATACAAGACCTAATGACGTGAGGCATTTAGGATGCCATTAAAAATATCATTGCTCAATATCACACGAAATATTATACAAAAATGTAAATAAGTTTTATTATTACATAGAATAACTTAACAAAAAAATATACAAATGTTTTTGTATGGCATCAAATAAGTAGATACTGTAAACAACTAGCCTCAGGCTGTTATTGACGTTCAATAAATATTTATAATATATAAGAAAAAGTATAAGTACATTTATTCATATTTTTTAAATAAATAATTAAAAAATAAAAAAGTTTTTTATTTCTAGCCATTCACATTGTTGATTAAAAATAAGATTTAATTAAATTACATTTTCTAATTTCTTTATGTATAAGCAAGAACCTCTATCTGGTGAAGGCCTCCAGGGATTGCCATGTGCTCCTATTTCTCGCTAAGGTTACACAGTTTCTACCAGCTATGTGTGTGATGTCGTCAGACAATCTTATTTGTGGCCCCCCTCTCCTTCTGGTATGGCCAGCCATATTGTGGTATTTTTTGTAATTTCTTTATTTTCATAATACAGTAGAATCCCGATTATCCGAACTTCGATTATCCAGACTTCCGATTATCCGAACTTATTCATCTCAGCTTTAATTGTCAACTTAATATTTTTTTTACGATGCAACGACGACGAATGGAAACCCAGTATCATAATAAAAATTGGTTGCAATTTTCAAAATTAATTGATTTTACGTGAAATCGATTATCCGGATTTTCGATTATACGAAATACCCCTCGTTTTCTTTGATTCGGATAATCGGGATTCTACTGTACTTATTTCCATGCTCCTTTGTGTTGTAATTGTTATTTTATTGTGTTATTTAAAATAAACGCAAAATAAAGTTGAGATATTTTTATTTTGTAGAGTAATAGTTGCTGAACTAAAGGTACTTACACAAAATTTCATGCAGCTTTCACCAATGGAGGAATAATTTCACGATGCCAGGAAGATTTTAGTGCAAGTATTTTATAATTATTTATTTTTGTCAGTAAAATATTAGGAACTTTTAAATACCTTTTTAGTATGGAAATAATAACGGAATATTTGTTATGTTTTCTGATTCCTTAAAAAATAAATGACATTGAGATCAACAGTAAGACTTGCAAATATTAAAACACATTTGGTTATTTTATAACAAACAGCATGTTAACTTACTACAAAATGTCAAAATTCTATTTTCCAGTCAATTTTAAGCATTAATATGTTAATAGTTAGATTCAAAGTTTTTTTATTTTATTAAAAGTACCATCTATTAGCGGCCACCAAGGCACTTAGTGACGTCACACTGTGCTACGGCGGCGAAAAATTTATCAGTCTATTATTTAACGGCAACATAAATATGAGTTAACATTACATACTCAGATCTCAAATTTTGTAGCAAAAGTACTTGTATATGGAAATCTGTAACAACAAAGTTACCAAATACTGTTGCAGAACATTTACTGTGTAAAATAGTATTTTGTAATTGCAATTGATTGATTATGACATAATTTAAAAAGTATTCAAACTATTCAATTAATTTTAATAGCTTAATTAAAAAGAGTATGAAATAGGCAATTGGACAGCATATACATAAAAATAGTTGGTTAGGAAGTTAAAAATATTTAAAGATCATTAATCAATAAGATTTGTTAAATAATTAATATATATTTCAATTATAACATTATCAAACAAAAATTTTACATATCAATTTTAAGTATTTATTAAAACAATAAATAAAAATACAATTTTCAATATTCATATTCTTTGTCTTATGTCAAACGAAACACAGTCACAGCACATAATGTTAATTATGGGTAAATTGCTAGTAACACTATGTAAGATTGTAAAAAGAGCAAACAAAAATTCTTTGCTTTTCATGATACCTTCAAAGTCACCATTTACCACCTGTTATTTAAACAGTAAAATTCCAAAAAGTTTGGCTTATTTTTTGTCCGAATAAGCATTCATATTAATTAATTCAAATGGTTATTTGAAAGTTGTTCAATCCCTATTGGTTGGAATAAATCAGTGGAAATGAAACTGGGAACCTCAGGAGTGTGTTTATATGCCAGAAAAAGATATTTCAGGCACAAATCTTACATGAGAACTTCTATTTATGACTCAATCAAATAACTTAAAGTCAATGACAGGTACATAGGTTCTTTGTTGTTGAATGAGGCGATTTAGCTAAAACATTGTATGTCAGCTCTGTTTTGAATCAGGATCCAATTTCCTTACAGAAGCTTCTAAAGTAAATAAATGTTCATCACTTATATGAGGTGCTAATTCTCTCATTGCTTTAGCAAGATTATACACATACTCTTTGTTTGAACCACTAGGACCAGAGCAACTAATAACTTGGTTGGCTATATCTTCTATTGGTGCTGGACCTGAAATTAAAAGACAATTTTTTTAAATCATCACACTAGAATATATACATTTCTGCGAGTGTACATTAAATATTGACATACAATTGATAAAACGGTGATTGTGTTTCATTAATATAATAAAATAAATTCCCTTGCTGGGTCTCCTTAAATAAGACGAAATCCAGAAAACTAGACCTTATAGTTTTTTTTATTATTTAAGGGATGATTAAAACAAACACAAAAATAACTTAAATATATCTGAAAAGCATTTAAGTTAGTTTTCATAATTGTCTATTGTTTCAGCAAATTTCATACATGAAAAACTAAAGAAAACAAATTGAATGTAGCTAAAAAAAATATTGTATCCTTACCTGCATAAGATTCATTTTCCTTTGTGGCAATATATATGGTTAGATTAAATGGTGCATCAGTTTTATCATGAGGATAGAATGTAACAATTTGTTTAGAATATCCGTTCTTTTCTCTAAAATCCAAATGATTTGTTACTTCCTCTATATCATCAGCTTTTATTTTATAAGCTACACCCCATACTTTACTGCAAGCATCATCACTCGGTACCAATGTTACAACACGACCTGGCTGAAAAGTATTAAGATACATATTTAAGTTTGATCATTAATTTCATTACATGTCATGTCTACACATTTGTAAAGAAATGTTTTGTTGTTATAGTTTCTTTAATAAACATATTTAACTTATTGTTAATGAAAAATGCTAGCACCCTGAGATGAGACTCAAAACCATGACCTTTTCTCATTATTTTTTCCATTAAGAATATTTTTCAGTATCATCGGGAATGCTAAATAGATCAAATATTATATTAAACTTACTTTTTCGGGCACACCTCTATGATCAATACTATGCTGATAGAATCTTCTGAGATAACCAGTGATATAACCTACAATTTTGAATTCGTAAGCGAAGTCAACTTTCCATATCAAAGACCCATAACCGAAAACCCACATATTGTAATAATGGGTATTTAATAGTAACAAAAGTTTGTTCCTAGACTCAAACCATTATAAAGATTTTAATATGGTTTAAGAATTCTTGCACGTAAATATCATACGTTTGATCGAAAACAAAAGTCAAAAAAATCAGGCGTCAAAATCAGCTGAGTAGTTCCATGTTTACGGCAATAGCAAAGAGATCTTATCTCATACATTCTAAATTCCCATAATATTAAATGAAAAAGAAGATCTTCATTTCTGCCACAAAAAAAGATATCTTAGACGTTTTAATGCATCTGTATAATTTTTTTACTCAACCTAGGTACATAAGAAAGTTTAAAGGAAAGAGGTGCCATAATCAGTTTTCCATGGACTTAATACTTATATATAACCCCGAAAAATTGTAATTACAAAAATTTATTTTATCTCTATCACTTAAAGTATACTTTTTATTGCTCTTTGTATAGAGGCTAATCCCAGCCGAGAGATATATTCACAACAGAGGCCATGTGTCTCGTTCTTTCATCTTGCCATTATAAAAAAATCATGTTCATGAAAAGAACCAAATTGACCTACCCATAAATAAATTTCAAATTCATGTAAAGAATATACTTGTGAGTAAAGGCTATTATAAAGTTGATGATTATTTTAAGGATCGCAATGCATGGAATTAATAGCCTTCGCTTTGTTCTATAAAGACTAATTATATGTTCAACTTATGTCCTACAGACTTTGAAAGTTGTATTTACTATTGTGATAAATTGATAATACATATTATTTTGGTAATGACATGATTTATGTAAATGTCATTACTTATGATAAAAAGCTGATAAGTTTCTTTCGCTTGTTCTTCTTGTCAGCTAAAAGACGTCCTGAACAAGTGGTAGGGGAAAAAAGTTTTTTGGACGATTCAAAAGTGCTTGTAATAGCCTACTTGAATAAAGATATTTTCATTCATTCATTCATTTAACAATGGTCAAAATGGACTACGAAAAAAAGTTCTTGTTACCAAGATGGAATCAATCAAATCAAATAATTTATTGGCCATATAACTCAGAAGGTAACGCTCGGCAAGTCTTTTACAATAAGCATTTTAAATTAAATATAAAGGTTTAAATC